CACACACACACACACACACACACACACACACACACACACACACACACACACACACACACACACACACACACACACACACACACACACACACACACACACCTTCTAGTATGTGTTCAATAAATAATGCGTGTGTTACAGGTCCACTCTGATATATAATGTTAGCAGTCTAATGCTAATTTTGAAAATGGTATAAGAGGATAAGGCTAAGCATCAAATATAAGAACGTTAAGACCGGATTTACTTCGGCAGTTTTCTCTTATCTGATGGGTTTAAACAAGCACTAAACGTAAAAAAGACACAGTACACAAATGGCATCATATATACTTCAAAACTTTCGAAATCGTTTACATGAACGATGGCATCATAGCGTATGAAGGGCACGCTGGCCGTGATACGCACATTGCTCCATGGGCGCGTATCGTTCCATTGTCCTGCATTGACTAAAAATGTCAGCCGAATAACATCCTAAGCTTAGGACGAGTTATGACATAGCCAATTTAAGAACTTTCCATACAACAATAGACTTTAGTCTGGAAAAATGCGTTATATATTTAGTTTGGACCCTTTTAAGTAACTCAAAAGAACCGTAAATAAGAAAATAAAGCAATTTAAGTTTTTTACCGCAGAAAAACATGTGAAGTTGCATAAAATGTTTCATAAAACTTAGCCTAACATTAGCTACACTGTTTATTTTGCCCTAAAAGATGCTTGCGCACTAGCCTATCTGGGTAACTGTAACTGTATAAACATGTTTTTTCTTAAATAAAGGAACTTCTGTCAAACATTAACACTTACCTCCCACGAGTTGAGTTTAGCAGCGGATAAAACGAGGAATTTTCTCTCAAGAAGGCGGATATGTGAGTCAGAAACAGCGACTTTCCTCCACACAGCACGCCAACACCCTGCCTTCCTTAACACGGTGACACTCTACAGGTTGGCTGGGTTTTAGAAAAGGGGGCTGAGTTTGAAACGCTAGAGCTTTGTCCTTGAGTCCTGGTCCTGGGTCAGTTTCAGTTTTTTGGCTGGCAGCAGGAGAGCAGAAAGCTAATGAGGAGCGGGGCGTGGAGGCTGACCCAGAGTCAGTCAGACCAAGCGCCGGGAGAAGGAGGAACCTTTAATGTTTGCTTGTCGAGAACGAGGGCGCCGAAGTTTGTCGAGTTATGCTGATTTATCAATGGGATGTTTGGGCTATAAATATTGAGAGGCCTAACAAAACAACAACACATTTGTAGCAAAGACAAGTGATAGAAATAATATGGTAATATAATGTAATATATAATACATACAACAGTTATAGTAACTCAATGGGAAGTCATAATAACTGAAGTTAAAGTCACTAAAGGTCAAAGAGTAAAACAAGCTAGGCTACATAGCTACCCTTAGACAATCACTGACATACTACAATTTGGTTTAGCATGGAGTAATTTATTTTCAATTTTGATATGCAAGCCAAATGTTTCTGAAATCTTTTTCAAATTTTGTCAAGGTTAAAATGGTTTACAACATGATTTATCTAACTATTTTATTATACAGCAAGACATGCAAACGACAGCAGGCCAAAATGACTAAACACCACCTTATGTTTATAATAATGCCGCATATCCGTGTGCATCATTATGGTATTGACCAAACTAAGCAGCATGTGTTAATTGTGAAGGTCTATGGGCTTTTAGGGGATAAACATACCAGTTTACATATCAGATTTGGGCAAAGTGGATACATTTGAAAAACAAGAACACATTTATTTCATCATACTCATAACAGGGACATTTACAGACTGTTTTTACATCTTGCTTAAACAGTATTGCACAGGTCTGTACAGGTGTAATCATATGAACCTGTGTGTTTTCTTACAAAAACACCCCCCACCATGCAGCCACATCTCTCCGCCCCTTGCCTTTCAACTCTTCTTCCTGGCCGGAACCGGTTTATCAGTCATGCCCCCGATCAGATTTCACTGTTGTCATCTTCCACTTTTCTACAACGTAAGAGAGGATGGCAGGAGTGGCAGTTAGCATGGCGGTTTTGGAAGAAAGAAAAAAAGAGAGGGAGGGAGGGAGACAATGAGAGAGGGGGCAAGTCAAATGTTAAAGTTCAGACAGAGATTTAGAAAAAAAACATACTTGTTCTTCCTGGTGCACCTGGTATCTGTGAAGGCAAAGTAAAACGTGTTACTGAGGTTACACCCACAACACACAGTCAATACTTTCACTAATTCTCTGATTCTCATGTTGGAATAGCTTTGCTTTGATAGGTTTAACATGTAGACTTATTTATCTGTGAGGTGTCAGTTACTTACAAAGTAAAACCATGAGTCCTCCAGCAAACAACAAGCTGGCACAGACTAGCCCTCCAATTCGTAGCCTTTGATAGTCTGTTAAACAATATTGTTAGACAGGGTAAGCATTACATTCCAAAGAATGTTTTGTATGCATAATGTAAGTGATACTCTGCACTAGTCTAGGTTATATTGGGCAGATTGTAAGAAGCAGGAGATAAGAATGTTGGTACTTACTGTAAGCAAATGGATCTGCAGACCAAACACACGAGGAGGAGGAGAAACAAGAAAGGTGAAAGGAACATTAGTGATAGGACATACTTCAACTCGCTTCAAAAGATGTACAAGATTTTCACCCCTCATTCCAGTGAGTAACAGTTGGCAGCAACAACTCATAGGCCTATGTGTAAGGGTTAAATGTTATTGTTTTTAAGCATCCATTTTGGTATGGTAACAGTTCATTTGCTTTGAATGTGGCCATTGTTATGGAGATAAAAGTGAATGTGTCTTTTATTTATTCCCAATACCAGTTTCTCAACAAACCAGTCTCAGGTGAAAGTGGAGTTTGGTCCTTACTTGCTTCGATTTCCGCAAACAGGGTGAAGAGAACTGAAAGAGAATCGGAAAAAATAAATGTTAATTTGGACGATGGCGAGTTCCCCTGCCTTGTTCCAAAGTTTTTCAGAAATAAATGGTGTTACTGCCTTGGTAAGCTTTTCAAACAAGCTAACTTTTCAATGCTTATATTTTTCCTTGAATAGAGACGTAGACTTTGGCATTGTATTTACCTGCTATAACAGCCACAATAGTGAGGTGTCCCATCTTTAACACAACTAAGAATCAGATAGAAAAAGATAAAGACACAGAGAAGAAAAAAGGACATGATCGTGAGAGACAATAAAAGAAAAAATGTTCCCCGACACTTTCCCTTTGTTTCTCACACAGACTAACACACACACACACACACACACACACACACACACACACACACACACACACACACACACACACACACACACACACACACACACTTCCCCCTCTCCCCGGGAAGAGAATGTCCTTGTTATGTGAGAGGTCAGTGTCTCGTCAGCAGGGATGCATTCTGGGTGTTTTGAGAGTAAACAGAGGATCATTTTTTGTCGTGTGGTGAAACCCAGCAGGTTTCCTGACAATTTTCCATCAAACTCCAGAAAAAGCTAATCCAATCGGGCCAAACACTGTCATGTGCTTTACAGAGGAGATTTGAACCTGTGGTTTTTCTGTCTCTCACTTTTCAACCTCATATGAGCAGCTATGACTTTATAGAGTTGATAGACATATATATTAAACAAATCATAAAGGTTAACAAAAGGCGGCATTCTGTTCTTTTGGGTTTTTTTATTTATTAAAAACATATTTAGATAGAATTAGGTTGAGCTACTGTATGATCCTTTTTATGTCAGTTCCTTATTCGGAAAAGTTGTTCAGACATCTTATTTAAATAACTGAATTGTAAGTGCAACAGGACTTTTCATTGACCTTACTATAACCTTGACTGATCTTGGACACCCATGAGGTTGGATGTACCACATTTTGGAAATCAGTACTTTTCCTCTCTGTTTGCTTATTTTCTTTCTCTCTGAATAAATTATGTGTTTTTAAACATCCTGGTTTGTTATATCAAAGTGAACTCAGCAACAGATCAAACATGCTTCATGCTTTTTACACGCTTGCATGTTGTTCTTGCAGATATATAAAGTTTGCATCAGATTTTCAGGAAATGAAAATGAAGTCAATACACAAAACTCCTTATCATGCCCTTGGGCCTCCATCTATTAATGTTATTGCAGCTATCAGTTTAGCATGACATTAGCCAAGGTCAAACTATGCACAGACCTCTGTCTTCAAGATCCCATGTTTTAAAATGCGTCCAACTTTCAGAAGACACAGCAGCAACCGACGTAACAAACTATCCACCTTGGTTTAAAGTTATTTTAAAAGATTTTTCCTTGCCTTCTTATTGATGTTCAGCCAACATCCCCTGCATTCATTACTATTTTGTTAACAGAGTCACTGCAGTGCTGAGCTTTTCAGACATCATAATTGTATTTGAAAAAAAATGTTGTTTCTTTAAAGATGGCAAAAAAGCTGAAAAAAAATCCACCCATACATCATTGTAGGGCATTTTATACACAGGCAATGCATAATGTCATATATGACACACAGCAGCCCCACATGACATTTACAATTAGCCATAAACAATTCATGTTAATCTCAAGCATACAGTATTCGCTACAAAATGTGTAATAGATTCTATTCAAATCTCTAAAGCAATTGAACAAATAATTTCAGTAAACTACTGAAATTCCTGGTACAATCTTAACATAATTGATAATTACTTGAGAACCCCTTAATATACACTTTTATGCCAAAAGGTGACCTTCACCCCTAACCCTGACTCCCATGCTGCCTTGCTCCATCATCCCTTGGCTTACCTGAGCTGACGGTTCAGGAGCAGAGGAGTGCGTGTGAAGGTTCCAAGACACTGGCCGGTCAAAAATGTGTACTTTCTAATTTACCTGAATATGAAGCGGCTGCTCCTCCTCTTTGTTTGGGATATAAACGTTAGTGTGTGCAGCACGTCCAGTGTGATGGTGCGTTTCTGTACAAATGCCAGCGTTAATGTTATTCCATAAACATCAGCGTGTGCATGATGGAGTGAAAGCCATTATTAACTTGTTTCAGTGTACATTTTACTTTAATACACTCTACAAGACAAGGCAAGTTTATTAACATTGTATATTTCATACACAGAGGCAGCTTGTGGTGCCTGAGATGAATGAAGTCAAATATATGTATATTAATGTTGTACATAAAGAAGAAGGAGAAGTTAGACATTAACAAAAAGTCTTATGCCTTAAAAAAATGGGCTGAATTCAAATCTGAATTATTTTTGACATTATGTTCCAACAGTGGACCCTGTGATAACTGAAATCAGCTTCACCACTTTGATTCTGAAGCTGGGACTGTAAACATTAAATCCAATCCACGTAGCCAGGGATCCACCAGCAATATTGCCTTCACACATCACATGAATCACAAACTCTTGACTACAACTTGTTTAAACAACATAGCAAATGTAGCAGAAATTAAAAGTGAATATCATTAATGGGAAATATGAAGAGAGGAACAACAACAACAACTATGATATAATAAGAACAAATCATCACAACTGCACAGATTAAAGATAAATGTATTCCTATTCAAGTGTAATCTTACATTTGAGTTGGGGCAGAAACAAGGCGAGTGAGTGTGTGTGTGTGTGTGTGTGTGTGTGTGTGTGTGTGTGTGTGTGTGTGTGTGTGTGTGTGTGTGTGTGTGTGTGTGTGTGTGTGTGTGTGTGTGTGTGTGTGTGCGTGTGTGTGTGTGTGTGTGTGCATGTACAATGCATTATGTGTTCCCTGACTCTGTAGATATCTATTTATCTCATTGCTCCTCTCTCTGTGGAGTATATTGTGCGGTGTTGGTCTCATGGTTGTCCGACATTTTCTTTCTTTAATAACCATTGGCAGGAAGTAGGGATTTCCATACTGACTTCATTATGATAGGTTAGAGCAGCGGTTTTCAAAGTGTGAGGCGCGCCTCCCCTGGGGGGCACCAGAGAGCTTCAGGGGAGGCGCAGCGTGAGAAGAAAATAACGAGAAACAGTGAAATCTAGCTGGTTAACTTCAGCTAACTTTATGCGAGCGGCAACATGGATCAATTTTTAGTGCAGTTACTTAAAGTGAAAGAGGAGACAGCGTCTGGCAGAAAACGTCAGCTTCGTTTTGAAATAAAAGTTGTGGCTCATCGGACATTTATGAGAGAAAATCCCTAATGTCTGAGTGCAAGTGAATGCAGCACAAGACGTGGGCCTTGTAACCCCTCCCCCGGCCCTGGCGCTAGCGAGGAAATGTGATTTGCGGCGATTTCATTTGAACGGGACGGCGCATTCGAACCCAAGTACACGGAAGGAATGAGGTCTTTGGGGTCTACAATGACAGAGAAGAGACTGTCAAGTGTGGCTGTACTCAGCTTTGAATCAAAACTCACTAAAGCTGTTGATCTTAATACGTTTGTGAGGCGATTTGCTGAACAACATGGTAATCGCCGCATTCAGCTATTATAGGAATGCCAACTTGATGCTCTGCTCACGGATGACTCGATAAGCATAAAAAACTGTTAAGATGATGACCTTACGTGTGTAAATATATTTTTTTCTTTGTGGGGGTCTGCCCCCAAAAAACAGTTTTAAAACCTGAAAAAGTCAAATAAGACGGTGTGTAAAACTACACTGCCCAGCCAAAAAGTGCTAAATACTTTTCTATTGCCACTTTAACTTAACCAAGGAATTATTAAAATGTACAACGATAATTAATAGCATGTACAAGCACCACACATCCCATATTTTACATTGGTTGTAATTTGTACAAGGTATAAGCGTGATATACTAGGTTTACTACCTAGTAGCCTATCACGCCAGCATCACGCTTATCCCCTGGCTTTATACTAAGCCAGGGGATAGGGTTATTAATTATTCATAATAACCCTCAGAATATCTCTTATGGGAGTTATAAATAAAAAGTATACATTCTCAGATTAAAGTGGTACATCTTAAAAGAAAAAAAACACAATTCACGAGAAAATATGATAAAATCTGAGATTATAAAGTTAATACATTTTGAGGAAAAAATCTGAAATGCTCTGAGGAAAAAAGTTTTGTTAATAGAAAACAATTATATAGATGTGTGTTTTTCAATGGCTTCACTCTGCAAGATCAGATAAACCTCCTCACAGCATACAAGCCGTAATACGCCATCTAAGATTTGTTGGTGTTACCCCTGCAGTGTAAACGAAGCATGTGTGCAGAAATATGTGAGCGCATGCATGTGTCACAGTGGTGATCTGTGACTATTTATACCTTATCCTGTCACACGCTGACAAAACCAAGGCATGCATCGGCCTTTCAACATATGACAATACTGCGTGGACAGAGGCGCAGTGTATGGTGTATGGTGTATGGTCGAATGTGTGTGTGCCTGTAAGTGATAATACAACCATTTGACAGCAGATAGAGTGGCAACTGGTGATGACAATACAGAGAGAGGGAATGGAGATAAGATTCACACATTTTCACATTAGCTTGCATAACTTGCATGGCACAAATCTTCTTATTATATCCCACACAATTGAAAGACTGAACTCTACACAGTTTAGCTTTGTTGTTTCTGGTGTCTGTCTGCATCTAGCATTGTGAATATGAGGTTAAATAAAGGCCTCTGTGTTCCATGTCAATAGCTCTGATAGATGAGCGAGAGAATATACATAAGAAATACTCCGTGTGGTGTTTCTTTCAGTATATTTAAGACTTCAAGGTTGGTGGTGTAAAGTACAATTTCATTTTCCTCAGCAACGAATCACTTCCAATATGGCAACATTATCAGGAACAACGCAACTTTAGGGAAAGTCCCCCGACTTTATATAACAGTACATAGTATATAAAACTTTGAATGTAAAAGTAAAAACCATATTAGCTTTACAAAGAAACTTAAAGTTCACTTGTGACCAAATTAGCTTTTTGTTGGGGATTTGCAGAGGAATAAATATAGCAGTGTTGACAGAACAGAACTCCAGTTGGTATTGGTGTTTGACAGAAATGGAGGATCAGATCGATGCAACAGTGAGAAACAAGATCAGGTAATCTGGTTCTGTCTCAATGGTCCTCCATGGATGTGTGGAGAATATAGGTTAGTTGTAGGTCAATTAAAAAGATTGTAAACGTTTTATTGCTAAATCCACGTAGTATGAACAGCTGTTAAAACGTAACTTCAATTGTAATAGTTTAACCTTAATGTCCTCAATTATTGATACATACTTAGTTAAAGTGATTCATTGTCAGTTAAAGGTCATCTTGAGAACACACACTGAACAATGTAGGTTATCAGTGGACACACACACACACACACACACACACACACACACACACACAAATGGTGACAGATGCCTCTCTGTTATGGTGGTATTTGGAATGTTTGTCCATAAACAGTAAAACTAAAGGTCTTATAACAGGTTAGCTTACATAGCAGAAGGTGACATCAGTCAATCAGAAGATAAGAGAGAGCTTCGCTTAGGTCTGAAAAGATTCTATGGGAACCGCATTTTTAATATTGACTTCTTTTAAAAGTACTATTTGGAAACTTTCTCGGGGTGATTTGTTTACCTAGACGTTTTACAAGTTATAGGCCTTTTTCTCGAGACTTAACTCAACTATCTCGTTATTGCCTCACATTTTGTCAGGGAAATACAAAATGAAGCCAATCATACTTTTAACTGATAAATGAAGGTTTCGTATTCAGTAATAGAGAACATGAAGAATCCTACAGCAGAATCTGACAGGCAACCTATCATGAGTGAACCGAGGTGTAGCTGAGCAGCTGAGTCAACACGTTGCTCCATACCGCCTCAACGAAAAGACCAGGCAGAATGCTCTCCTGCTGTGTGTGTGTCTGTGTGAGTGTGTGTGTGTCTATTGTCTCTAGCTCGTAATCAGGTGTCACAACATGCAGAAGACTGCAGTCAAGAGCAGAAAAATACCAGTTGTCATGTTACTTTATTCAGTGATCATTTAATTAGATTGTAATATAAAGTAGAAAATGTCTTAATGAGCTGCTGCGTTTGATAAGTGATATTATATTTGGTATGTTGGGGTGTTTGCAAAACCATGTTTGAGTTCCTGGTGAAGTTTCCCCTGTAAAGATCAGCATATGTTTTTAAGTACAAATGAGGGGGGGGGGGGTAATTTACTCCACATATTTTAATGAAAGTCAGAGTATAGTTGGTGTTACTTTGTGCAATGTATTACCACTGCATAAAAGCAACAGGATTAATGGCAGCAACACCACAAGAGTGTTAGGGTCTGGTTCCTGACATGTAAGGAGTTCACCACCAGAGGGAAGAAAAACATATTAAAGTGATGATCATGTGGTCACAATAACGTCACTGCTTCATCTGTCACTCTGTTTGGCTTCTCTGCCACATGGTGTTTCACATTACAGTTATAGTCTACTAAACATGTGCCCATGCTAAATTGTTAAAACAGCAACAGTGTAAAATCCTCTTGAAGTAGCACAGTTTTGGTGATAACAAGAAGGACTGCTAGGTACACTGTAAATCGTAATAAATTGACTTTACTTAGAAAACTTCAGGAAACCGATTGCCTCAACATTTCCAAGTAAAGTTAATCATTCATTTTTAAGTTGTTTCAACTTAAAAGTACTGAGTTCAGGCAACTTATATCATTACAGTAAACTTGAGTAGACCCAACTCAAGATCATTCATTACGATGACTATGAAAAGTTGGTTTAGACAACTTAAATATCTGAGATATGTTGAATTAGCACAACTCATAATAAAAAGTGAACATTACTTGTCAAAGCAGTTCACTTAGGTTAATATCAGGAAACCGATTGCCTCAACATTTTCAAGTAAGCTGAACTTAAAATGTTAAGCTGTTGTAACAAACAAGACATTTCAATGGTAAT